TGCATTTTCACAACAGATTTGGCAGCATACAAAAGCAATACAGTGAAAACCCATGATTTCATAGTGGTGTTTTCTCAAGTACCACATTTGGCATTTTGTTACTGTATGGCAAATGTAAAGCCAATACGAACAAACTAAAATACATTCTAGGTTTGGACTCAACAGAATTCAGTTCCTGTCTGGACTTCCCAAAGGCTGAGTGAGTTTTAGTTCATGTATCAGCAGAACAACTATACATTTAGGTCTATTATGCATACAATATGTGTTTGCACACAGTAATCTGAAGCAGTAAGTGTAATACAATTATCTTTAAATGTAGTGATTATGTGCCTGCCATTTCAGAATTTCTGAAGCACTTGGCATCTCTGTTTTGTAGTCTGGTAAAAAATACAAGCTTTTGGTTTTGGATTTTCTTTTGTCAAACCCTGAACATGTTGGAAATCATATTTAAAAATTGTGCCTAGTTCTGATTCTTTTTCAGTGTGGAATTAAATTTTATATGTTCATAGAGTTATACCTTTCAGAAAGACTTTAGGTCCTTTATAAACCTACTTATAGCCCCTATAGATGATAGTTTAAAATACAATTTAATTTTCTTCCCGTGAAAGAACCCCAAATTTGGAATAATAAAATAATTACAAAACATCACATAACAGAGACTTACAAGGAATTATGTGTATGCCTTTTACTTTTGGTAACATCATCTCTCCTTTAAATTAATATTTATTTTTTGTATGGTGCCATTGTGTTATGTGACGCTGTCTTATAGCTGAAAAAATTATGTGAATTCAAACAAATAAATAGGTGAATGTCCAGAATTAAATCCTCATTGCTTTTAAGAGTAGTTAAGTTGCTCTAGTTTTTTCAGAAATTACAATTAGAATGCTATTCTGTTCCATGCAAGTCCTTTCTGTGGATAAGATTCCAGAAAACATGATATTCTGGGACTGCATGAAATTTTTTTGTTCTTCCTTGATTTTTGAAGTTTTGACATCATCAATTCAATCTGAAAAAGCCCATAAATCCACCCTATAGATGTAGAGTATGCTGAAGGGGTCCTGTGTTGTAATAAAAATAATAATGACACTGTCATTAGAATGATAAACAGTTTGCTTGCATTTTTTAAACTTCATAAAATTGCCTTTTTTACTGTAAAGGACCAATTAAGTCATGCATGTAGCTGTATTCTTGTGATATCAAATGTAAAGATGACATTGTGTTTAAATGAAAATAACAGGCACACATTTAAAAAGAATATGAAGAAATGTAAATATATTTGATTAATAAAACATTTCTATTACTGTACCCTAAGCCTTTGTCTTATGTTAATATTACTTATGGAATTTTGTCTGTTTTCTGTAGAAAAATCAAATATGCTTGAATGATTGTGCATTGAAAATAGCCTCAAATAATCAGCATGCCCTGCTGATTGTCATTACCAGCTTCCAAAAGGTGTTTGCAGCTTGGAAGTTGCAAATTCTTGAGAATTTGCAGAAGAAAATTAGATCAAGTTTAGGTTTCTTGGTCACTGGGTCTCACAACTCCTTCTGATATATTGCAGAGGAAACGCTATAGTCATGTTCAAGCAATTTCTCGAACGTATTTCAGAATACTTTCCAAAATGATGATAATGATGTAAATCATGACATATTATAACCAAGTTTTTCTATTCTCCACACTGGAGTGCCAGGCTTTTTTGTGGTTGATGACTCCAGTAATTATTGGTTACCTGAATCCTGATTAAAAGGATCACCATCTAGTGGACTAAGACAGAGTTTCAAAATTCCAGCTGATAAGGACTCTGAACTCATTCTTCAGAAGTCATTCTAAAACCACAGTTAAAAGCAGTAACCATGCTCCACTGCAAAGGACCTTCAGTGCCTTTTTCAACATTTTATCACTGCCACTGTGTGTGAAAAAGAGCAACGATCAGTTTACTAAGCTACTCCTTGTTCCACTTGAAAAAATATGTCTTGAGTATGCGAAAAATATGTCAGTTTCTGTCACTTTCATGTTATATGACCTTTTACATAAGCACAAGAACCACCATGGTAGAATAATTGAGCAAAACTACTATATTTGAGAAAATACTCAGGTAAATCGGCCAGCAGGCTGCCTGCTGATTTGCAAGTAGCAGGGATAGTCAATCATTCAAGGCAAGTTCCTATACATCTGTGGAAAGTTCTTTCCAACAAGAATTGTACTGAGTCTTGCTATATGAGATTATATCACCAAAACTGCATAATCTGTCATGAGCTAATGAGACACAAATGTCTAAAGGGGGTGATGGGTGGAGGAGTCCTTTGGCCGATGGCCCAGTCTGTGATATGGAAAAGTCCTGGGGTCCACCACCTTGAAACTCTTTGGGTGCATGATTTAGAAGGGGTGAGACTCAGGTCTGCTAGTATTTTTCTTTTAACTCATTTACTGAACTTTCTTAGCGGCACTGAGGACCAGCAGTGTGCTGCTTACTTAATTTGTCTCTGAATGTGCTCACTGA